CCAACCAGTTTTTTACCCAGTGAAGACTACGCCTGTCCAAGCCATGAGCTGCCAGCTTCCCAAGGAGAATATTGTGGGAGACGGTGTCAAAAGCTTTGCTAAAGTCCAGGTAAATGACATCCACAGCCTTTCCTTCATCTACCAGGCGGGTCACCAGGTCATAAAAGGAGATCAGGTTGGTCAAGCAGGACCATTGAATGCACTGAATGCATCTTCCACTGAATGCATTTATAAAGTCATACCTTTTATAAAGTCATACCTTGGCTGAATCTACATTTACACATCTAGTTTAAAGAAGCCATTAAAAAAAAACCGTAATCAAAAATAAAAACTCTGTTTTAATCACCGCAGTTATTCTCTCTAAAAGAGTTCGAATGGGGATCAGACAGTAACCAAAGGTGAACTCCTTTCTAGTATAAGCAAGAGAATGTCACCTAACAAGTCATGTGTGAAGCCCTAAAACTTCTAGTTGAGCCAGTTAGTATTCACCAGACTACTACTTTTTTTAGTCATGATGTTTTAACCAGGTATCAGTCATTCCAAAATTCATTCTCTATGTTTAGTGCTTCACAAGTATTTAGAGGTAATTCTCCAGGCATCCTGCTGCTTTCCTGGTAACACAGAATCCCACCAAAGTCCCTCAAGAGACTACTAGAGTTGAAGGAGGAAGGTGATAACATCAGGCTCGCCCGTGACAAGCCATGGGATGACACGCCAAGGTTTGAGGGACAGGCTGCTAGCAAGGGTCCTCAGCCTGTTGCTCCGAGATGTGCTGGGTACACTGGAGCACACGTGAAGTCTTACAGCGATGAGCCAGGGGCTCCTGAGGTAATAGGAGCCAACAGGGAAACACCAGTGAAATATGTCAAAGGAATTAAGGTGTGTTCCTCTAAAAAGGTGACACAGCCAACAGCCCAGCTGAAGTGCCTCTACACCAATGCACACAGCATGGGGAACAAACGGGAGGAGTTGGAAGCCACCATGCTGCTAGAAAGCTACAACCTAGTTGCCATTACTGAAACTTGGTGGGATGAATCCCATGACTGGAGCATTGCTATTGATGGCTACAAACACTTCAGAAGGGACAGGCGAGGAAGGAGGGGCGGAGTGGTTGCCCTTGCTGTCAAGAAATGGATAGATTGTGAAGAGCTGTCTCTGAAGAATAGCCACAGGCAGGTTGAAAGCTTATGGGTAAGAATTAGAAACCAAGGCAACAAAGAGAACCTTGTGGTTGGTGTTTACTACAGGCCGCCCAATCAAGGGGAGCCTATTGATGACACCTTCTTACTCCAGCTACAGGAGGCATCGTGCTTGCAGCCTCTCATCCTGTTAGGGGACTTCAACCACCCCGACATTCGCTGGAGAAGTAGCACAGCGAGCTGCAGGCAATCCAGGAGACTCCTGGAGTGCATTGAGGATAACATCTTAAGCCAGGTAACAGACAGCCCTACTAGAGGGGATGCGTTACTGGACCTGTTGGTCACCAATGCAAGTGAGCTAATCAGAGGCATCATGACTGGAGGCAGCCTGGGCTGCAATGATCAAGCACTGGTGAAGTTCACAGTCCTGAGGCATATGGAACAGGCAGAGTAAAGTCAGGACCCTGAGTTTTCGGAAAGCGAACTTGCAGCTGTTCAAGGAGTTACTCAATAGGACCCCCCGGGAAACTGCCCTCAGGAACAAGGGAGCACTAAAGAGCTGGCAGGTCTTTAAGGACACTTTCCACAGAGCACAAGAGCTCTAGATCCCCATGTGTAAGAAATCAGGAAAGGAAGGCAAGAGACCGGCATGGCTGAGTTGAGACCTGCTGGTCAAACTAAAGGGCAAGAAGGAAATGCACAGGCAGTGGAAGCAGGCACAGGTATCCTGGGAAGAGTATAGGGACGCTGCCCATTTGTGTAGGGATGGGGTCAGAAAGCACAAGGCACGGCTGGAGCTGAAGTTGGCAAGGGATGCAAAGAATACTAAGGGCTACTATAGGTATGTCAGCCAGAAAAGGAAGGTCAAAGACAGTGTACCCCTCTGATGAACATGACTGGCAAACTGGTAACAACAAACGAGGAGAAGGCTGAGGTACCCAACAACTTTTTTGCCTCAGTCTTCAATAGTAATCTCTCTTCCCACACTTCTCAAGTGGATGGACCACAAGGCAAGGACCGGGGCAGCAAAGTCCCTCCCACTGTAAGAGAAGATCAAGTTTGAGACCACCTGAGGAATCCCAACATACATAAGTCTATGGGACCTGGTGAGATGCATCCCAGAGCCCTGAGGGAATTGGCTGATGTAGTTGCCAAGCCACTCTCCATGATATTTGAAAAATCATGGCAGTCAGGTGAAGTCCCCCATGACTGGGCAAAGGGAAACATTGCACCCATTTTTAAAAAGGGTAGAAAGGAGGACCCTGGGAACTACCGACCTGTCAGCCTCACCTCTGTGCCTGGGAAGATCATGGAACAGATCCTCTAGAAACTATTTTAAGGCACATGGAGGACAGGGAGGTGATTTGAGACAGCCAGCATGGCTTCACCAAAGCCAAGTCTTGCCTGACCAACCTAGTGGCCTTCTATGATGGATTGACTACACCACTGGACAAGGGAAGAGCTACGGATGTCATCTATCTGGACTTCTGTAAGGCCTTTGACACAGTCCCCCACAACATCCTTCTCTCTAAATTGGAGATATGGATTTGATGGACGGACTATTTGGTGGGTAAGAAATTGTCTGGATGGTTGCATCCAGAGAGCAGTGGCTAACGGTTCAATGTCTGGATGGAGGTCAGTGATGAGTGCTGTCCCTCTCAGGGGTCCATACTGGGACCAGTACTGTTTAGTATCTTCACCAATGACACAGACAGTGGGATCAAGTGCGCTCTCAGCAAATTTGCAGATGACACCAAGCTGAGTGGTGCAGTTGACATGCCTGAGGGACAGGATGCCATTCAGAGAGACCTGGACAAGCTCAAGAAGTGGATCCATGCAAACCTCATGAGGTTCAACAAAGCCAAGTGCAAGCTTCTGCACATGGGTCAGGTCAACCCCCATTATCAATACAGGCTGGGGGATGAAGGGATTGAAAGCAGCCCTGTGGAGAACGACTTGGGGGTACCAATGGATGAAGAACTGGACGCGAGACGACAATGTGCGCTTGCAGCCCAGAAAGCCAACCATACCTTGGGCTGCAGCAAAAGAAGCGTGGCCAGCAGGTCGAGGGAGGGAATTCTGTCCCTCTACTCTGCTCTTGTGAGACCCCATCTGGAGTACTGCATCCAGCTCTGGAGTCCTCAGCACAGGAAAGACATGGACCTGTTGGAGCGGGTCCAGAGGAAGCCACAAAAATGATCCGAGGGCTGGAGCCCCTCTCCTACAAGGACAGGCTGAGAGAGTTGAGGTTGTGCAGCCTGGAGAAGAGAAGGCTCCAGGGAGACCTTATTGCAGCCTTTTAACATTTACAGTGGGCTTATAAGAAAGATGGGGACAGACTGTTTAATAGGACCTGCTGCAATAGGACAAGGGGTAATGGCTTTAAACTAAAATAGGGTAGATTCAGACTAGATAGAAGGAAGAAATTTTTTACAATGAGGGTGGTAAAACACTGGAACAGGTTGTCCGGAGAGGTTGTAGATGCCCCATCCCTGGAAACATTTGAGGTCAGGTTGGATGGGGCTCTGAGCACCCTGACCTGGTTGAAGAGGTCCCTGCTTACTGCAGGGAGAGGTGGACTAGATGATCTTTAAAGGTCCCTTCTAACCTGAACCATTCTATGATTCTATGATACTTTGTCTTAAAAGCATAGCTAGGATCTTGAAAAAAATCCAGCTTTGACCAGCACCAAAGCGTACCCAGCAGAGCTCTCATAATATTTTACGTTTATGCATCCACTGCTGTTTAATTCAGGATACTTAGCACAACGCAGCTTACCTCCCTTGTGCACTTTAGTTTTCTCATACGCTTCAAAACCTTCCGAAGGCGGTCTCGCTCAAGCTGCTCATCCAATTCTCCTCCCTCCTTCACAACTGGCTAAAGCACAGCAGAAAGATGAAAGAAAAACACAGGATGCTCAGCATTTACAGTTCTTCTCACAGGGAATTCACTACCCAACACACTACTGAAGGAAAGCTTCCAAAATAATTAAATCTTTGCAATTTATGATTTTACAGAAGTGTATCTAATATAATGATCACTGTCTATATCCCAGAACAATGGAATTACCTTTAAAAGGAGTAAACTGCCTGGAAACCACTTTGCAGTTAAGAGTTTTAACATTTAGATAGATATCTATGAACAAACCCTTGATAAGAAATGGTCCCAAACTAGCTGCTGGGAAGGACAAGGGTATGTCTTTCCGCAATTACTTTTCTCCCCTCCTGCCTGCGGAAAGTACTTACTCATCTCTGTCATGCATCTTTAACATTTACTGGTCGTACCATTTCCACTTAGCCTCATTAAAGCTAAGCAGACCAACTGCCTGTAATGGTTATTCATCTATGCTGAACTACAGCTCATGTTCTTCTCTCTGATAGTTATTGTGTATTATTTCCTACACTACCTTACAATAACATTACACCTATACTGAATAAAAAGTTAGAACCGAGTGACAGACCTATTCCTCAGGGCCAGAACAAGACCCTTGGCCTATTTCATTTACTAGTACAGCTGTAGGTTCAGAAACCACAGTACTGGGAACTATGTAAAAAATAACAGTAATGAATTGTCTAAACCTTACCTAAACTTCTGAATGACCTTTCCAAAAGTTCTAATTCATCTCAACTACAATGGGAGACATTGCCTTCTTTAAAGTAATAGCAAAGAGGAAAAGCACACTGTAGCATTAGTATCTTTACAGTAAACAGAGACAAGAACTAAACTGCTGCTTCTGCTTTTTTACCTTTGAACTTGTAAAGAACTGAAACTAGTCTGCTCTGGATGTAGAAAAACTCCCACTTTCTAGCAAAGGACTGAAAATTGCAGCCTAATGAGCAATCATTTTTTTTTTTTTCTGATTGAGAATGCCTTTTATGTGTGACATAGCTAACCTAAACAGAAATTCATCCCCTCTTTCTAAGATGTAGCATGCCTACCATCTCTGGTAACATTTTACTGTTTTTTCGGATGTCAAATCTCACAGGAAAAATAACAGGTAGACAAGATTTGAACAGCTGCAACTTCTGAAAAAACACACCATTTTTTTTCTTCTGTGCACCAGGGAAGGAACAAAAGACTGTCTTGCCTACAAGATTTTTATATGCACAGTAGTTGTGTTACCTGATTGTTATGGTCTGCCATGACATGGTATTTCATCCCTCCTAAAGACTTCAGCTGCTTCCCACAGTGATGACATGTGAACATTTTCTAGAAATAAATGAGACATGGTGCATGTAACTGCAAATTAACCAAAGCAGTGGGAAACTCTTTGGGGGAAAGGAGCAGGAGAGCAGAACATTTTATTTGGGCCTGGTAACTGCCCATTAAGAACAGAAGAGATTTTATGGAGCCTAAAATTTAGGGGAACAATGAAATAGCTGCACCTTTGTTCACTACCCCAAACCTCCAGCAAAAAGCTAAGCAAGAAGCACCAAGCAGAGCCTCTAACAGATGTAAAAAGGACTCTTGCTTAGAGACACGATGATGAGATGAAACTGGTTTTAAATGCAACACAAAACAGTGTGCAGGCATTTCTATCAGTAAGCTGAAGACGAGTAAAGAAAACATCACTCATCTGTCAGGTTCTTACCTGTCTGCAATTTACCATATGTTTCTTCAGTCCTTCTACAGTCTTTCTCACCACAGCCCGGCATGTTGGACAGCTAACTCGGCCTTTGTCCTGAATTTCCAAAGACCATCGCTCTTCCATACTACCTGTCACAACAAAATGTTTGGAACAGAACTGCAAATGCAGTATCTTTTTTTTTTTTTTTTTTCCTTCAACATGCACAATGAATCCTAGAAGGAAACAGGTCATATGCTACTAAACTCATGTCCAGCTACACTTCAATAGGTTTAGCTCATTTGCAGCTTTAAATGTGTCATGTGAGAAGGCACACGTCACTCTTTTTGGGAGATCTTTAATCCTACCACCCCCTTGCAAGGAGTGTTCTTCCACTTGTTCAGCAGAGATTTTTCCTTCATTAATTTTTATTACACAATTACTTTAGCACACAAAGTAAACTTTTCTTTCAGCAAAAGGGTTCTCACAGTAAAAGTAGTCACAGATGTGACTGAACAGTTTCAGACGAAGTTCACAGTTCAGTTCTACTAACCAAATCTTTAGAGCTCCACTTACATTAGCCAGCAGTTTTGGCACTGAAAGTGAACAGAGCTGCACCACCAGGCCAAGTTACGCAACAGCCAGGGAAAAGTACCCTGTGTGGCACAGTTTCCAGTTCCTGGCCTCTTTTTGAAATGCCAAGCAAAAGCTTGGCATAATCCACAAGGATTATAAATTACTGAAATGTGTTCTGGGAAGAAAGTGGCTTAGCAGCCATCTGTTTGAATTCTTATCATAAATAGATCTAAAGGCTTTCCTCTTTGGAAAACAGGCAGGGGTTGTCCCTCCCCAGGTGGCTGGGGGAAAAGTCTGTGAATCAAACAGCACTTGGCAGAAAACAGGTGTATTTAACAAGTGCTGTGAGCTACACATACCAAGTCATTCCACTTGCTGGGTCAAGGCTAATGTTATTTTTCTAGGATGGACTGCTTGGCTCTCTGGCTACCAGGTTACCAGAAGAGGTGATTTGGCAGCTACAGAGTTTTTCCTGTGAACATACTCTGCTGAGTAAAAAAGTATAAATATTTTTATGAGTTTTATAATGAAACTATTTTAACAGGTTTTTGCTCAGTTAAAAAAAGTGATCCCCCCTTCACTGTCCCATTATGCAGTGGTAAAACCACGTGGAATTACACTATTAGGCAGTATGCAGTCCCTCCAATCTCACTCTGCAGTACTGACACAGTGCCAAAAGGACAGCAGCCAGTTCTTTCTTGTCAACAGTAAAGTGAACAACAAAATGGAAACACCAGAAACACAGCTGTTGCTCAGGTTCAAATCCTAGAATCACATTTATCTTTTAGCTGCTTTATAAACAATTTTGAGCAACTACTTCTTCTTACCTGTGCCGTAAGTCTCCAGTTCTTTCTGAACACAGTGGCCTTTCGTTTTGGAGTTTTGTTGTGTTCCAGCTTGCTGGTTTTTTCCTGTTATAACACAAACAAAAAAGACCAGAAGACTTAATTCTGCAAGCCTTTTTACAAAATAGCAGAGATTTTTTTGCTAGACGGCTGCTATTTAGTCTGTTGTCTCAAAGCTACTCATTCAGAAATGTTCAATGCTTTTTTTTCTTAAGGAATGTCAAGATTATGTCCCTACACCCTTTCAAAATCCATAGCTATTTACAGCCGCAGACATTAGTCCCATCCAGATATCTGTGATCTGTATGGTTGTTCATACACAAAACTCAGGGGATGGGAACTCTTCACACTGAAACGTCCTCTATTCACAGTATGGCTGAGCCAATCTAATGACTTGTTGACAACCAAATGGACAGTCCCATTCCTCTACTCATTTCTGTTTTCTTTAGACTACATAATTCTTATTGTTTCAGTATTTTCTCATGGGTTATGCTTTTTGCTTTCTTCTCATCCCTGTTCTCTTCAGTTGGTCCACACATTTCCTGAACTGTAGTGCCCGCTGCTGGAAACAGCACTCCAAGTATGACCCTGCATTAGAGCAAAAGAATTACTT